AGTGCAAGCTGTCAGTGGATCTACCATTCTGGGGCCTGGAGGATGATGGCCCTCTTCTCACAACTCCACTAGGTGGTGCTCCAGTTGGGACTCTGTGTGGGGGCTCTCACCCCACATTTCCCTTTTGTACTGTCCTAGAAGAGGTTCTCCAGGAGAGCTCCATCCCTACAGCAAACTTCTGCCTGGACATACAGGCATTTCCATACATCCTCCGAAATCTGGGTGGAGGTTCCTAAACCCTAATTCTTGACTTCCATGCATTGTCTGTCCCAATACCACGTGGAAGCTGCCAAGGCTTGAGGCTTGCACTCCCTGAAGCCATGACCTGAGCTCTATGTTAGCCCCTTTCAGGCATAGCTGAAGCAGCTGGAGCAGCTGGGACACAGGGCACCAAGTCTCTAGGCTGCACACACTATGGGGACCCTGGCCCAGCCCACAAAACCACTTTTTTCTTGTAGGCCTCTGGGTCTATGATGGGAGGGGCTGCCATGAAGACCTCTGGCATGCCCTGGAGAGATTTTCCTCACTGTCTTGGGGATTAACATTTGGTTCCTTGTTATTTATGCAAATTTCTGCAGCTGGCTTGAATTTCTCCTCAGAAAGTGGGATTTTCTTTTCAATCGCTTTGTCAGGCTGCAAATGTTCTGGACTTTTGTGCTCTGCTTCCCTTGTAAAACTGAATGCCTTTAACAGCACCCAAGTCACCTCTCGAATGCTTTGTTGCTCAGAAATTTCATCCACCAGATACCCTAAATCATCTCTCTCAAGTTTAAAGTTCCAGAAATCTCTAGGGTAGGGGCAAAATGCCACCAGTCTCTTTGCTAAAACGTAACAAGAGTCACCTTTGCTCCAGTTCCCAAGAAGTTCCTCATCTCCATCTGTGATCACCTCGGCCTGGGTTTCATTGTCCATGTCATTATCAGCATTTTAGTCAAAGTCATTGAACAAGTCTCTAGGAAGTTCCAAACTCTCCCACGTTTTCCTGTCTTCATCTGAGTCCTCCAAACTGTTCCAACCTCTACCTGTTGTCCAATTCCAAAGTTGCTTCCACATTTTCAGATATCTTTTCAGCAGTACCCCACTCTCAGTACCGATTTACTGTGTTAGTCCATTTTCATGCTGCTGATAAAGACATACCTGAGACCGGGCAATTTATATAGGAAAAAGGGTTTAGTGACTTACAATTCCATGTGGCTGGGGAAGCATCACAATCATGGTGGAAAGCAAAGAGGAGCAAGTCACATCTTACATGGATGGCAGCAGCCAAAAAGAAGTTGTGAAGGGAAACTTCCATTTTCAAAACCATCAGCTCTCATGAGACTTATTCACTATCAGGAGAACAGCACGGGAAAGACCCGCCACCATGATTCAATTATCTCCCACCAGTTTCCTCCCATGACACATGAGAATTGTGGGAGTTACAATTCAAGATAAGATTTGGGTAGGGACACAGCCAAACCTTGTCGCAGGCCAAGGCAGGAGGAGTGTTTGAAGCCAGGAGTTTGAGACCAGCCAGGGCAACATAGCAAGACCTTATCACTGTAAGATATTTTTTAAAGCAGTAGAAGAATGAAAATGTAATCATAATTCACTATATGGCTTGGCTCTGGATAAAAATAATTTTTTTCTTAAACCTGGATCTATCTTAAAATGGCGATAAATTAAGATGATGGGAGAGAGAAAAACATATGTATGTATTTGAGAAAAGGAAACATTGCCTATAAAATAGCTTCAGATAGGTCTATAGCGTAATAGAAAGTAAAAGATGAGAAATGGTTCCAGATTGAAGGAGACCAGAGATATAGCAGTTAAATGTAACAGATGAACCTGGATTTAGTTCTGTACCAGAGAGGAAGAACATTTTCTTTTTAGGATGTTTTTGGGACACAGAAATTCAAAAGGATCTGTGGATTAGACTGTTGTATTATGTCAGTGCTAATTTCCTGATTCAAATAGCTGTATCGGTACTATGGTTATATAGAAGAGTTCTTGTTTTCTGAAAATACACACAGACCTATTTAGGAATAATGGGGCAACATGTTTCCGGCTTACTCTCAATAAGTAAAAGTTTTCTCATCCCTCCTTTTCTCTGTTTTGCTTTCTCTCTCCTTAACTTTCTTGTACCAATTATAATTTATCTGCAGATCTAACATAGGCATGCTTCCTGTCAGATTTATGTCATTATTCTATCAGTTTCCTTTTCTTCCTTTTTTGTCCTCCTTTCACTTCCTTTTTTCATTCCCTTTCCTGTTTTTCTCTCTCTCTTTCTCTTTTTCCTTTCCTCCTTTGCTTACTCCCCTTTCTTGTTCTGTTTTCCACCATCCCCTTTTCCTTCTTTCCTCGCTTCCTTTATTCTTTCTCCCTGTCATCTCCTTGACACCCTGTATATTTATTTTCCTGGTCCAGTGTATATGGGCTGTTCTCTAGGTTTGCTGCAAAACTGTTAACCTAGAACATTATCTTCTGGGATATTTCCTTTACTTTGATCTTCTGTTGTAACTCTTGTTTTTAGATTCTGTATCTTCTTTCCTGGCATATTCCCTTATTTTGGAGAAGTCAAGAAGCTTCCAGAGAATAGGTACATGGGAAGTTTTTTGAAATCTTCTATGTCTGAAATGGCTTTACTTTACCTGTATATTTGAATGACAATTGTCTGGGTATGTATAATTCTAGGTGGAAAATACTTCTCTCTCAAAATTTTGAAGACATTAGTTTATTATGTAGTTTCCAGCATCACCATTTAAGAACTCTGATGCCATTCTGATTTCCAAGATTCCTCCTTTATTTTACTTATATTCTTTCTTAAATCTTTCAGGAATTTAAAAATCTCTAGTTTATGAAATGTCATGGTGATGGATGCTTGTAGGAGTACTGCCTACCCAACCAGTGTCCTGTTCATTTTGGGGAGACCTCACAGGCCCTATCAACCTGGAAATACTTTATGTCAAGGATATTTTTCTTTTTCATTTTCTGGAATTCCTTTTATTCAGGCACTGCCTGCCTGAATCCTTTCATTTTAAAAAATTTTCTCATTTTCCATCTCTTGTTCTTTTGGTTCACATAGTGGGACAGTTCTTGAGCTCTGATTTTCAAACCTTCTGTTGCGTTTTTATATTGTTATCATATTTTAATTTTCATGAGTCTCTTTTTTGGTTGGTGTTGTTGCTGTTCTCTGTTTTTTTAAAAACAGCATGCTTTCTCATTCATGGATTTAATATTTTCTGTTATCTTTCTGGTGATTTCATGGTTTTTAAAAAGTGTTTATGCTCTGTTCTTTCTGCTTCCTTTAATCTTCTGTTTTAGTTTGTTTGTGACTTTATTTCACATCAGAGCCTTCCTTCATGTTCAGATGTTTAGTAGTTCCTACACCAAATAATAAAAAGCAGAGTAGACATTCTGCATGCGCGGTAGGGGTTTCAATGTAGGGTGGTTATACAGAGACCTGGCTAATTCATTAGGGGGCTACAACTGTCAGTTTTTCCTCCAATATCAGCTAAGAGAGGAAACTTCCAACTATGGTGGGTGCTGTGTTATGAGTATTTGTGTCCACCCAGAATTCATACTCAGAAATTCTAACTGCCAAGGCGATGATAGTAGAAGGTGGAGTCTTTGGGAGGTGATTAGATCATGAGGGTGGAGCTCTCATGATTAGGGTTGATGCCCTTATAAAAGACCCCAGAGGGACCCTCACCCCTTTTACCACGGGAGATTGTAGTGAAAGGAAGCTGTTCTGTAAAGTGGGCCCTCACCAGATGCTGAATCTGCTGACATCTTGATCTTGGGCTTCCTAGTTCAGAACTGTGGGAAATAAATTTCTGTTGTTTGTAAGCCTAGTTTATTGTATTTTTCTTTAATAACAGCCTGAATGGATTATGATGGGGTGGGGATTGCACCTTCCTGCCAATGTTCTTGGGACCCGGTGAACAGGGTTGCGTGTCTTTGGGTCTGGTATGCAGGACTTTCACTTGATAGCTGGCTTTTCATAGGACCTCTCCCCCTATCCTACTGGATGCCCTCGAGTTCAGACCTTTCAGAAAGTAAACTTCCAGTGTTCTGCCAAATTGGGGTGGGAAAGTTACCTGATTGCCTAGGGTAGGTGAGGGAATCTGAGGTTCTAGCTCTTTTTTGTTTTATTAGATCTTCTTAATAACCAATCATCTGGTTTTTGCTCTGCCACAACCTTTATGTCTACAGGTTCTTGGTGCCTCCAATTCTTGAACCTTCCTGGCATTCTACATCATAAATATCCTTGCTTCTAGTTTACTCTTCTCTTCAGTATTACTTTCCAGTTTTCTCTGCTCTGCTATTTAAAGTTACTGCTTGATGATCAGTTCTCCAGTTTCCAAAAAGTAGTTGGCACCTTTCATTTACGTAGTTTTTGCTTCTTATCCTCACCTGAGTCTGTTAGTGCTACTGTGACAAAGTATCTGAGACTGGGTAATTTATAAATAATAGAAATTGATTTCTCACAATTCTGGAGGCTGGGAAGTTCAAGATCAAAGTGCTGGCACTTTTGGCGTCTGGTGAGGGATTCTCTCAGTTTCCAAGATGGTATCTTTTTGTTGTGTCCTCACATGGAAGAAGGTGAAAGGGCAAGAAAGGCACTAGCTTGTTCCCTACAGCCCTCTTATAAGGTGGCTAGTACCATTCATGAGGGCTCTACCCTTATGACTTAATCACCTTTAAAGGTTCCACTTCTTAATACTGTTGCATTGGGGATTAAGTTTCAACATGACATTTGGAGGGAACAGAACCATTCAAACCATAGCAATCCTTGAGGCTTTGTACTTTTCATTTGTTTGTTTGTTTCTTTACTGTCATCTTTTGGATGGGATTTTTAAGAGGAAATAGGTAAAAATACATGTTCAATATGCCACATTTAACTAAAAGCCCAGTAATCCTTTTTGTTCCTGATATATTTCATTAATATTGATAGCATCTAGAAATGGAAGAGTTTAATTTTTCTATTGATATTAATTTTTGAATGTTTTATTTCTTAGGATGCCTCATTGATGGACATGAACTCCTTCAGCCCTATGATGCCAACGTCCCCTTTATCAATGATAAACCAAATCAAGTTTGAGGATGAACCAGATTTAAAGGATCTCTTCATCACAGTTGATGAACCTGAAAGTCACGTTACTACAATAGAAACTTTCATTACCTATAGGATTATTACTAAGGTAAACGTTAGATGAATATTTTCTTGAATTTAGCTGCTTTTTTTGAAGCTTTGGAAGTAAGTACCTCTTGTTCATTATGATTCTCAACATTCCAGGATCTTAGCTGAATTGACTTTTAGTTTTTCAAACCTTTTGGCTAACACATTGCTTCTTATCTGCCCTTCACTTGTTCTGTATCAAGTCAGTGAAATTCAAATTGACTTGAGGAAGTCACTGATTTTATAGCAGCTATACTTCTTAGAATAAGAACATCTAGGTTTTTAGTTTAAAAAAATTATTAAGAAATACCTTTGGAAAAGATGGGCCTCAAGTTGTTAATAAAAAAAGAAAATAGTTAAACAGTTTGCAATATTATGTATTCAGATTTCTTTGGAACATTATAAAATATAGTATCATTTGTTTTTCAAAGTGGGGCAAGTGGCCACTTTGTCTCATGTATGAGATACTGTTAAGTGTGCAGTAATTCAAGGGCAAAGTAGATCTAGAACACAGAGCTCTTTAATCACAGGGCAAAGCACTGCAAAGGCAGTTTACCTCAGGCACAATTAAGCAATCACCTAGTATAATCTGTATTTTAAGTCATTTATTTAATAGCATTTTAAAATAATTCTCTTTATAGTATTTTGTTTATGAAGCCTCACCCTAGACTTTTATACTTCATGTATGTAAAAGTACGTCTCTTTTTTTTGCTGAAAAAGTTCTGAACTATATTCCTATAATCACTTCTTCCAATGAAACTGCCACACTGCTATTAGTTATGTTTGCTAATTTCTTCACTTGAATTCTTAAAATCCCTTCTTGCCCCTTATTTCAGTCAGAACGAAGTGCAGACTTTCTTGTATGACATATAAAGGGGCTTCTCAGTCTGGTGCCAACTTGCCAGAGAAGACTTATTTCTTACACCTCACATTCAGTACCCTTGCTCTCCACTCATGTAGAGCTGCTTCTGTTTTCTGAATATTTAGGGGATCTCTTGCTCTCATCACTTTGCATATAGTTTTCCTTCTGTTTGCTATGTCCATCCCCTTCTTAGACAGAAGAAGTCATACTTAGTTTTCAATATACAACTCAAAATGTTAGATGCCTGTGAAGGCTTCTCTAGTTGTTACTGTCCCGTGGCTGAAATAGTTATTCTTCGTCTGTTTTCTTATGCTATTCTATCGAACTCTTAAGAAATGTGAAACGTTAGAGTCAATATGGCAAAACATCAAAAGCTTATATTTAATCCAACTAAGCTGTCTTTTTAAATCGATAAACATGAGATAATAGAACTCACTTCTGTAGGGTTGCAGTAGAATAAGGAATCAATGGAAACCCCACTTAGTAAAATGCCTAACACATGATACGTGTTCAGTAGTTGCCATCTACCTGTATGGGAATAGTTGCCATCTACCTGTAATTGCCATCTACCTGTATGGGAATAGATGCTTATTTGTATTTATTCTCAGTGAGTTTGTGAGTTTCTCAAGGAAGGTAACTATATTTTAAGTTATCCGTAATTCCAAACATAAATCTTAGGACATGATAAGTAAACTATTTATTTTGTTGATGAATGAGTGAAGGAATTATCTTAGCTATATCAAGATGTGGTAGAGCAAGACAACATGGAGTTGAATCTTGATTTCTCACCTTCCTTGCTATGTGACTTGAACAATTTAACCTCTCTATATTAGTTTTCTTGTGTGTAAATAGGACAACAGTACTAACCTCATAAGGTCTTTATGAAAATTGAATGTTCATATAGGCATACTGCTAGAATAGAGCCAGATTTCTCCTATTACTACTGTTATAATTATCTATTGTCATTATCCATCCTAGCAAATAATTTGTGAAACTGAATTATTTTTCCATCATTCGCATCTCTCAGAAAGACACTCTTTCTAATGTCACCTTATGAGTTTAATTTAATTCATACTGTTCCTCTGAGTTTTCCTATTTACGACATACTTTAAATGGACTGGTCTTATAGAAGTAGTAATAGTAGTAGTAATAATAATATTAAAGTGTATAAACTAGGAAACATTTACTGTGTGATTGCTTTGTGCCAGGTAATATTCTAACCAGTTGCTACATGTTAATTCATTTAGGCGCACAGTAATCCTCAAACATAGATACTATGATTTACCTCCATTTCATGCATGAGGACACTGAAGCTTAGTGGCTTGTTAAAGGTTACACAGCATAGTAATTAGCTGAGCTGAGATTTAAATCCAAACAGTTTACTTTCATAGTATACATTTTTTCTATTATATTTTTGTGCATTTAGGTATGGATATGGTAAACTTTCAGTTTAACTATTATAAACTAACTTCCTTTGTTCTACTTCTCATTACTTTTACTATATCATAATATATGGACTATATCTATATATATAAAAATATATATTACAGATATAAATAGATAAATAGTACAGGTATATCATGTTATCAGATAGTCTTTTCTTATTCACTTATCGTTTACTTATTTATTCCAAAAGATTGTATTGAGTACCCTTTTTCTCCCAAGTATTGTGCTTATATATCAAGAATACATCAGTGATCAGGGTAGGTCTGACAAAAGGAACTTTCTGCCTTCCTGGTGTTTTCACTCTGAGGAAGGGGTGTTTGTGTATGATGATATTAAATAATTAATTTTATTCTGTGTTAGTTTGTTCTCATGTTGCTAATAAAGACATACCCAGTACTGGATAATTTGTAAAGGAGGAACATTTAATTGACTCAGTTCCACATGGCTGGAACTGGGGGCTCACAATCATGGCAGAAAGCAAGGGGGAAGCAAGACACATCTTACATGGCAGCAGGCAAGAGAGAGCTTGTGCAGGGGAACCCCCATTTATAAAACCATCAGATATCATGAGACTTATTCACTACCATGAGAACAGTATGGGGGAACTGCCCCTTTGATTCAGTTATCTTCACCTGGCCCCACCCTTGACGCATGGGGATTATTACAATTCAAGATGAGATTTGGTTGGGGACACAGCCAAACCACATCATATACTAAGTTATTTCTTTATAGTTATAAATATTTTGAAGGAAAAATATTGGATATTATGAGCATGGGATACACCATCTAATTTGGAGGTTGAAAGATGGCCTTCCTGGGAAAAATCTTAGTTTTATAAATATTTATATTCATGGACACTAAGGATTATAAGGGTAAATGAATATTGACACATGTAAACTGACAATCACCTATTTAGGAATACTTAAGAATGATCCCACTGTAAATGATTATATCAGGAAAACCACATTTCTGGCATCTGTTCTTTTTATGGGAAATTATCCTTTATTGTTTAGGTTAGCATATTTTAAGTGACTGTTCTAAAGAAGTATTTTCTCTTTTGGAGATCTAGAGATGTATGTTCTCTTAGTACATATAAGAGTAAGAATGAAGAGATTTAACAAGATACTTTCCTTCCACTTCCTGTTTGTGAAAACAAACCTATAAATGCCTGTCGTTGTACAGTTAGGAGTTAAGCTATATTCTTGATTGGCTGAACTGACTATTAGGTTTCATTTTCCCTCAGAAAAAGTTTTCTAAATTCTGAGTTTAGAGTAACTGTTCACACTTGACTGAAGGTTGGTATTTTTGGAATAAATGTATTTGGGGGTAGAGATCACAGGAGTTCATTAGTACTAAACTTCAAGTACCCAAGCTTTTATGGTCAAACATGAAAAATTGGCCAGCATTTACAATGTTGCTTCCATAGCAAACTGTATTCTATGTTAGAAGCATTATTTGTACTCCAAATGTACTGTATACAATACATGATATTTCTAAGTTGGATATATGTCATCAAACCCAGTTATTTCTACAGTTTGGAAGCTTTTGTGCATCTTTTTTTTTCTTTTCTTTTTTCAAGACAGAGTCTCGCTCTGTCACCCAGGGTAGAGTACAGTGGCATGATCTTGGTTCACTGCAACCTCTGCCTCCTGGGTTCAAGCAATTCTCCTGTCTCAGCCTCCTAAGTAGATGGGATTACAGGTACACACCACCATACCTGGCTAATTTTTGTACTTTTAGTAGAGACAGGTTTTCACCACGTTGGTCAGGCTGGTCTCGAACTCCTGACCTCGTGATCTGCCCGCCTCGGCCTCCCAAAATGCTGGGATTCCAGGCGTGAGCCACTGAGGCATCTTATAATGACCAAATTTGTCCACTTTAGAGGGGACAATGATTCTAATGCTTGCTGTAGGGAAATTAGTCTTGTTCCAAACTCTGCTGATAATGACTGTTTTCCTCATCATATTCCGACATCTGTATCTCTTATAACCCTTCAAGAGAAGAATGAAATCTTGCAATAGGAAGAAATAACATTCTTTTCGTTACTTACACTTATCATCTGTTTTATTCTTCTATTGCACTACATTAGAGAATTCCTTTGAGTCAATGATAGAGTGATGAGGATAGACTGAACCAATTATTTGACTTGATTTTATATCTTCTTGCTGGAATTGTTTACTTAAAATGTTGGATATTCTTGAAGACATATACAGCTCAATCTTATTTTAACTGCTGGTTTTTTTGTTTTGTTTTGTTTTGTTTTTTGAGTGCTTCATTGTTCGTTATGACAATGTATAGTCTTAGAAATTGGTAGTGGACCTGTACATATGTACCTGGTACAAGGAGGTGCTCAGTCATATTTTTTAATGAGTTACTCTAAACCATGTTTTGGCTGCATATGTATGTGTGTATGCATGTGTCTATTTGCTTATGGACATACACACACCAACCAGCCTCTATTATTAAACTGCTGGTACTTGATTTAGTTTTCGTGTTTTTACCATTTCCATTTCATGTACCATGTTGCATAATAGTTAAGATTTTATAGTGTTTTGTGAACATTTAGTTTCTCAGATTTCTGCATTTCATTTGCTCCCACTTTTTCCTATTATAAAGGGAATGTTGTACAAAGATACATTGTATGATATTCTGAACATTCGTTTTAAGAGAATAAACTTTGGAAAGTATAGCTTTCATGGACCTTATTTTATGACAATAAAGATTGCATCTTATGACTTGGACTGTTCAATTTTACAATTGTGTACATCTGTGTGGGTGATTGATATTTCTGGTGAGTGTGAAATATATATGCAGTGTGTCATTCCATGTTTACTTCTGCAGGAAAATCTCAACCTAAATATTACTGCATGTAATTTTTAATATGCAAAAATTCAGTTAAATAAGGTGTTGGTGTGAGTGACTGTTTTCTTATGAGAGGTGAGTATGCATTAGATAACCCATATTTTTTCTTTGACTTGGGACTCAGGCAATAGAAATGAGGTTGATATTGTACCCATGTTCTTCTTGTCATATGTGTTGGCATGGATTTTTGGTTTGTTGAGAACAGATATTTTAATGTATTTGCTTAATTTTTAGGAGTTTAGGCATATCACCCAAAATAAAATTCTTTGAGAAATGACAGGAAGATTTTCTTTTCACATCAAATGTCTATTAATTACTTCTTTTAAAACAGTGGTAAAATCACTCTAAAATGTTAGAATTTTCATATACCAAAAGCAAATCCTAGCACAGCAATTCATTTGAGCAAATTCCAAGAAAACATTTTTCTCAGTTACATTCAGGTTATTTTCCAAATTGCAAAAATAGGACTTTCCTCAAATTCTGAATTCTAATCATCTTGAGAAAAGAAATATATTTGAAACCTAAATTCAGAACACACTTGCTTGTTAGCGAGAAAGTCATGCCAAAGATAATAGTAGTTAAAATCTTGTGGAAGGCAGATGGTTGTTGTAAGACAGATTTTTCAGTTTGGATTTTAAATTTAAGTATGATATTTGCTTTCTTTCTGGAAATACCAGAAAGTTTGCTTTGTTTCATCTGCTACATGAATAGATGACAAAAAAAAAAAAAAAATTACAGGCTGACAAACACTGAATAATTAGGATTTGTTAATTTTTCTTAGAGACCCATTTATTTCACAGTGTCTAAAATAACATTAGGCAAATATCTTCTATCTTATACTGGATGTGCTGTTATTTTCTCCTACTTTCTTCAGACGTCTCGTGGGGAATTTGACTCCAGTGAATTTGAAGTTAGGAGACGGTATCAAGATTTCCTTTGGTTGAAGGGAAAACTGGAAGAAGCACACCCCACTCTGATTATTCCAGTAAGTTTGCAAAAATTTTTTTTCATAGAATAGCTACCAGTTTTCTAGTGAGTCTTTTTGAATGCCTAAAACCTAATTTCAGACCTTAAATTCACTGTAATTCATTTATCTTAGGAATAACATGTATTTCTAAATGTTTCAATCTATGTACACTTTTAAAAAAAACTCTTCATAGTGCGTTATGATTTCTCATTTTTGGTTCTAACACTGTGAATTTTTAAAAAATTATTTTTATAAGAAATGATCAGATATTCAACTAGTCTTCCAAAAAGGGAAAGCATAGAATTCCTTATAAACCTATGGCAAATAATACTCGAATACCTTTTTTATTTTTTTTGCCTTAGCCATTGCCAGAAAAGTTTATAGTAAAAGGAATGGTGGAACGCTTTAATGATGACTTCATTGAGACACGCAGGAAGGCTTTACATAAATTTTTGAACCGAATTGCTGATCATCCAACTTTAACATTTAATGAAGACTTCAAAATTTTTCTCACTGCACAAGCTTGGGTAAATGATTTTTATTTATACTCATATAATCTTTGGGTGTCTAGATCTATAGTAGATTGTATTCTTCCTCTTGTTTACCTTTACAAATCACACAGTGGTGTACTTGAATTGAGATGGAATTTTTCAGAAACACTGGAGAGTTATCCTTCAGGTATAACCCTGTGTCAAATCTACATATAAATATTACAGAAATCTTGTATCTTCATATATATATACACACACACACACACACACACACACACACACTCTCTCTCTCTCTCTCTCTCTTTCTTTAATGTTTTAATGTCAGGGTGCTTCTTGCATAAATAGCAAATACTGAACAGCTATAAATATATTTCTTTTATTGACACTATAGTTGACCCTTGAACAACATGGCAGTTAGGGAAGCCAACCCCTTATGAAGTTGAAAATCCATGTGTAACTTTTAATTCCCCAGAAACTTTACTAGCAGCCTCCTGTTGATTGGAAGCCTTAACTATACCATAAACAGTTGGTTAACACATATTTATATCTTTTGTGTATTATACACTGTATTTTTTGCAGTAAAGTAACCTAGAGAAAAGAAAAGGTTATTTAAGAAAATCCTAAGGAAGAGAAAATACACTAACAGTATCCTACTGTATCTATTGATACCATAAGTTTATGTTGTCTGTCTACCAGATGAATTGTCAGTCTGAAATGGAGGGCAATGACAGTGGCAGACCTCAATCTATGGTACTTAGCAAGCAATTCAACTTTTTTTGTAATGCCATGACTTTTCTCTGCTTCTTGGGAACATTTCCAGCATCACTAGTGGCACTTCATATGGGTCCCATGGTATTATTTCAGGTTTATAGTATTGCACTAAACACAATAAAAAATACATGGGATCCACAAGAGATCACTTTTTACTGCTATACCTGATTTACTGGAGAGATGAACTACTCACACGGAGATGATCAGCGTCACATGGCGTTTTAAGCGGATATTCGCAACACTTCAGCTAGCCACAAATAGCAACAGGAGGGCTACAAAAATAGTACAGTAGTACAGTGTGTGCTGTAGTTAATTTTAATCGGTTTTGATTTAATACTGCATCTTTATGTTTGTTTACGTTTCTCTCAACTGCAAATGGTGGCATGTGAGCCAAAATATGTGCACACGTTTTGATAAATGTTAACTTTTTATAATTGATTTATATACATTTTAGGGTAGTAAATGATAGATTAGTATCTACATATATTTTGTGCATTCATGACATACCTTTCTCTCCGGTTTTTCTACATTTCTAGACTATGTGGTTTGTGAGTTGTTTTTAATTGTCGCAAATCTCCAAAAAATTTTCCAATATATTTATTGAAAAAAGTCCACATGTGTGGACCTGCTCAGGTCACACCTGTGTTGTTCAAGGGTCTACTTTATTTTGAGTAATAATGGATCAGGGCTTTTTAAGCTAGGATAAAAGTCCTTATTAAATGGGTAGATGGATGAATGGAGATAGATGGATGGATGGATGGATGGATGGATGGATGGATGGATGGACAGATAATATAATCTCCTTACTTTTCCTTTAATTATCTAAGTGGGGGAGTGCCTAATTTCTAATACAGAAACCTTATCCATTCTACTTGTTTTTTCTTTTATTCTATAAAGCTATAACTCTGCAAGAAAGATACCAGATAGGACAAAGAGTCAACATTAAACAGTTACTGACAAATGTTGAGTTTTATATCTCTCAGTTATTGCCAGTGGTGGAAGCTAAAAAGTGGTTCATTTCAATCTTGACAGATAGTCCTGCTCTATGGAAGCCCTTTGTGACTTATGTGAAATGAATATGTGGCCTGACTTCAGAACTTAGAAGCTGTTAGAAATATTCTCTACAGTCAACAGTTTCAGTAACAGCTTGCCAGTTGTGACGTGAGCTGTCTCTGATAATGTTTACTCTATCAAATGAGGCTGTAGTACTCTTGGATGGATGTGTTGCCTGGTCAAGGATGGCATCTGTTATTATTGGCACAAAAAAAAATCACACTGAATTGGAAATAAACAAGTTTACTTTGTATGTATTATTTTCCGTAAGATATTCAGGAACGAAAACCTGGAAGAAGATAGACAATGTGTTATTTAATATTTGGGTAAATAATATATGATATTTTTATCTGTAGATTAGGTAGTCAGCAGTATTTTGTTTGATCCCAAGCTTGTGTTTCAACAAGGGCCATAACCATTATTAGAATCCCTTGTCCTTTCTTTTGTTTTTATTTGTTCTTTTATCTTATGCCATACTTCTCAAGGGATATGTTTGTGTGTAATACATTCTTTTATAGGATTTCTTCTATCTGTTTTTCAAGTCTATAGTTGTTCCTCCTAGGTTAAGTATGAAATAACTAGTTACGTTTCTTATTAAAAATTTTCTCTGCAGACAACCAGCCAGTGAAGGCGGTGTCACGGTTTACCCGCTTCATTTGGTTGAAGTGCTATAGTCAGGTAGTATCTATTGACAAACTACCCTAATGACTTTAAGTGGGCAGAGCAAGTTGGTGCTTAATAATGAAGTCTCTGGAATCAGACTTCCAGGATTCCAGTTCTTGCTCTATCACTTAATTGCTGTAGGATCTTGAGCAAGTTACTTAACTTTCCTGTGCCTCTATTTTCTTCTGTAAAATGAGGAAAATAATAAAACCTACCTCATAGGTTTATGGTAAATTACGTATATTAAAATGTCAGTATAGTGCCCAGAATGTATTAAGCTCTAAATAAATGTTAGCTACTATTACATCTAAAGAATTAATGAAGTTTTCCAATTTTATTTTTCAGAGTATAACTTAGGCCCTGAGAAATCTTATCTCAATCATTTTCCATTAAATTCCTGTTATAAAATATAGATGGTATGTCATATTATCCTTGTCTTCTCTAGTATCTCACTGAGCACTATTCTGTCTGTTAAACCCTGTTCTTTTAAAGATTTATGGTCTGAGGAACGACTGTATACCTGTTTTACATGAGTACTGTGAAAGGGAATATTATCAAGGAGGCTGCCACTTAGAGGGGACACTGTACCTTAATAAAGCTCATCTGCTTCAAGCTAACACTAAATGCCTATGAAACCATTTTATCTTAATTTTATTCTCCTAATTAGGTTTCTTTTTGTATTGAGTCTCGGAATATTGAGACATGTTTCACTAGAAATATTTTGTTTTTTGTTTCTAGGAACTCTCTTCTCACAAGAAGCAAGGTCCCGGATTGCTAAGCAGGATGGGGCAAACAGTCAGAGCTGTTGCATCCTCAATGAGAGGAGTTAAAAACCGCCCAGAGGAGTTCATGGAAATGAATAACTTTATTGAACTATTTAGCCAGAAAATAAATTTGATAGATAAAATATCTCAGAGAATTTATAAGGAAGAAAGGGGTAAGTAGAATTACTGAAATGTGTTTTCACAGTTGTTCAGTTTCTAATGAATCTTCACATTTGTTCGTGTAGTATAGCAACATGCAGTTAGAATGTCAGCTTCAAAGTGTGGCTTATTCCCAGCCATGTTATGGACATTTGTGATTCCTAAATGATTTCAAAGGTAGTTATGGCCAGTCTCCATTTTCACTTTTATCAATCATTAGCTGCTCTACTTCCCATTCATAGATAATAGTGGTAAAGTAAGCCCTGAGTTTACGACTGTGGATGTAGTTTTATGAAGTTTGTATTCAACATGGCACAGAGCTCAGAATCAAAGAAGTGATGTTTCAGGAAATAGGTTTTCACATTTTCTGGTAATTATTTTTTTCTGGAGGGAACAGGTATTCTGTATTATACTGTCAAAGTATGGCAGAGAGATTTATGTATTGGAAAATCTGCCTCTTTTCCTATTTTCTTTTTTTTTTTTTTTAGTTTATAAGTCAGAATTTATGATAAATTTTTTCTAATTCTAATCATGTGATTTTTTCACTAATTTTCTAATTGCATTTACTTACATTAAAAAATAGATAACTGAGTCAGCAAATAATTTCCTAATATAATTTGTTATTAGAGATCAGGAACTACATAAAGACAAACAAAAGTCTCTAAGTTAATGGCTTATTTGTTAATTGACTTCTACTTAACTGTACTGCCCATCAGGATAAGCTGGGAAATATTTTATTTCTAGTATTCGGATGGTGTTTAATCATAATAAGCACTCAATTAAAATTTGTTCAGTGATTGAAAAAAAACACGAATGAACATAAGATTTGGAATGGTGTAGGAAAATGTGCTTTATTAAGAATTGATTGGTTTTAAAAAGAGATACAGAAAAAAATTATAACTGAATGTGCTTTGCCCCTTTTCTACCTTTTTTATTCATGCGTTGACACCTGATGAGATTACTGTAGTGACTGAATATAGTATAATAATTTGTTTTAAACCTCCTTGGTTTGCCCTTACATTTATTATTTGTCTTTTTTTTTTTTTTTTAACCTGAAGAGGTGAATTATTTTAACTAGGTTCTGTGATTCCAGTTCTATTAAGTAGATTCTGGCTGCATAGTTAGGTGGTATGGCAATTCAAAGAGATCTCTGGAAACTATTGGTAGTTAAGAGCTTTATAAGCTAACAATGAATATCAAAGAGTAATTAAGATAGTACCTGTTAAGCTCACAGTCTAGTTGGGAAATATGTATATTAACAGACAAATTACAGTGCAGCTAAGTAAATGCTTGCATGCAGATGTGATTTGAATGGTATGTAAGCGCAGTTTAGAATTTTAGGGCAGCTTTGCATATAAACATAAATATTGTTCAGGTTTAATGACAGACATTGACATACATTGAGAAATTTGAGATTTCTCAATTGACTCAATTGAGAAAAGAAAGTGGAAAATTTTCTTTTCTAGAAATTAGTTCAGTATGGTCATTATTTACCATAAAGATAGGCCTAGGATCAGGAAGGTGGAGTTTGGAAGGACTGTAGAGGTGATTAAATGTTCATTAGGTAACAACTAGTATCTCCATTGTTTTTAAATTTCATATTTTTAAACTTTTTTTTAATACAAACTTTTAAAGTTTTAATAGTTTAATAGTTTAGAGAAATATGACAGATATCAGCAAATCCTAATGAGTTGTAAGATAGTTGAATATAGACAAATTAATTGTATTTATATGGATAGTGAACAAAAAATGCTTACTGCGTATACATTTTCTACACAAAAAGCTATACATTACTGAAAATTAAGTGTGAAAGTAAAAATGTTAAGTTGTAAAGATATTCACATTTTAAAATGAAATCCAAATTTTTGAATATATAGCATATCAAAAACTGAATGGTCTTTGGTTACTCATATATGCATTCTTTCATTGATACGAAAATATTTATTGAACTCATTACACATAAGGGTTTGAGATAGCAAAATAAGAAGACTCAGTCCCTGTTTTAAGGAGTATGTGGCCAAGAGCATTTGAGTTATAAGACATCGATAATACAGTGGGATAATGCTTTAGTGTAAGTGTAAAATTATGATAGGTATGATGGGCTCATTGAGGGCCAAAGCATCTATGAATCCTTTGGAACAGAATCAGAGATTTATTTGAACTGAAATTTAAAGGATTAGAAGTAGTTTGTCAGGTGATAGAAATGGAGGACAAGGCAGAGGGACATGTGCAAATGCTTTTTTAAAGAGAAATCATGGGATATTCATGAATGAACAAGCAATTTGACTTGAGTTAAAATCTTTGGCAGAGAATTTCACATTGGACCTGGAGAAGCAGACAGTGAGGACTAATGATAAAGGTTTAATTTAACTAATTCTAATTTAACTACAAAGAGTCAGTGTTTCTTTACTGTGACAAAAATAGAGGGAGAATAGTTAGGAGACCCTTGAAGTGGTACAGATTAGAGGTGCTGATGGTGGTGGAAGTGAAGATAAGTACATAGGTAGGTAGATGGATAGTTTAAGATCTAGAAATTTTGGAATTGGTGATTGACTGGCTCTGTGTAAGTATGTTTCTAGGATAACCTCCCAATTTTTTGCTTAGATTTATGGATAGTAGTTACCACTAAGTAGAATATATAGTCAGAAGAACGGGAGAAAGAAGATGATAAGCTTTTTTTCAGGGCATGTTGCCTATGAGGCACTCAAATACAGTTGTGTGGTAGGCAGAAGTCTATAATAGATTTGATGGTCATATAATTTATTTGTCAAGCCAAGACATTTTTGACAATGAAAAGGAATGTTGTTATTGATTACACTTGGACAGTAGTCATTCAAATACTGACCTGGGCAAACTGATGGCCGGTTGATTTAATGAAAGATGATATCCATTTTCTTATGTTCTTATGTAAGAATATGTGCACTGTAAGAGAAATAAGGCCCTTTCTTACTATCTAAGATACAAGTACTTTGAAAACTTTTATATATTGAAGAGCTTATTAAGTCTTTTTTTTAAAGAATATTTTGATGAAATGAAAGAATATGGCCCAATTCATATTCTGTGGTCAGCGTCAGAAGAGGATCTGGTTGATACTCTAAAGGATGTTGCCGGCTGCATTGACAGATGCTGTAAGGCCACTGAAAAGCGGATGTCTGGACTCTCAGAGGCCCTGCTTCCTGTTGTACATGAGTACGTGCTTTATAGTGAAATGTTAATGGTAAGAACACCTAATTCGAATTTTACCTCCATCCCTTAACCTGATTATAAGCTCTGTAAAGGCGACTATATTTCTTTTCTTTAAAACTACTATCTTTTTGTTCTAGCAGGTTGTTTTGCATGTATATGTTCAATAAATAATTTGTTCACTGTGTGCCTGAATAGATGAAAGAAAGAATCCTTTGTTAAAAAGCAGGAATACTCAATACTCAATAGCAACACCAACAATTTATCAGATTATACATAGACAGGAAGCATCCTCAATCAAAATTTACGTAGGGAATATGATTAGTTTTTCCAAACCTTTTGAAATTTTACTTTAAAATTTTTTAGTGCTTTGGGGATTTCTTTTCATGAAAGAACTGCTCTCCTGCTTCTAGGTACATTTGATTTAGCAATATATTTAGTACCATTATGTAGAAAGTACTTGAGTCGGATCTCGATGTTCTGCCTTCTGGTTGCTTTTAAAAGAAATCTTTCAAGTTAAAATGTTTTTCTTTCACTACTTGAAAAGGCTTTTATTCCTCTTGTATCAAAGTTTTGCATTTTACTTCCTCAGTTCAAGTTAAGGTTTCCAGATATTTGGAATTTAGCAATGCTATCTGCAAAGCTAATGTTTTTCATCTAGTATTTTTCTGTGCCTACAATACTTTGCACAAGCAAATTGGCACCCTCAGGTCTCTGGTGTTTTAGGATGGTGATGAGGGAAGGAGTCAGCTTGCATTCAGATATAGCTCTTTTTTTCTATTCTTTATAATTGGAACCATGGTCTCTTTGGACATGTACCCTTGATTTCTAGGAATTTCTTTCAATTTTTTTCTTTTTAAAAAACTTTTCTTTGTTTTGGTCTGAAAAGCTCACTTCGTCGTTCAGCATGAGATCTGCCTCTCTCTTGTTGATCATGTTTAGGTTTCTTTTGACAGAGTCATTAAATATGGCACGGACATTTCAGGCTTCGGCTGTGCTTAACTTTATTGGATCCTCCTGTAAACAAAGCTTCTTGCTTCCCAAAGGCCTTCGATGTTTCACTGTTGATGATTCTCTTGCCTCTCTCTATCCATTTCCTTGGCTACATCCTTTGGTTTCACTTCATTATTGGTCACCCCCTTATGTAAATCTTCAAGAAGATCTGATTTGTATGTTCTGCTCCATTAATTAGTGTTTTCTTTTATATTATATCAAGATGGAAATTATGTAATTGAAGTATTACATTGTTAAGGATATGGAAAAATTATAATAGAATTATTTTATAGGTCCTCATTTGATTGAATTAATTTTTAGACTCCCAGGGTATGATAAATAGTACTTACATTGCATTTCTTGTCCTGTTTGATATTGGAACATTCTCTTCAATTTGAGCTAAAATAATGAAAAATAATCCTCCCATAAAAATGATTAATTTCATGTAATTTTCACCAGTTGTCCTCTGAAGCAACCTTTTACTTAAAATGTATTTGTGCATATGAAAACCAGTACTTCATCTTTTTTGAAACAGATCTTAAATAAATAGGACTGAGTTAGAGAGTGAGTCATTTGGGTCAAAGAAAGGAGGGCTTTCTTGACATTAATGGCAATTAAACATTGAGGTAAATATAAAGGAATTTATGATATTAGTTGAGTTTTCTATGGATTTCTTTGCAACTAGGAAAAATGTTAGTTTCCTTTAATTTCTTTTTTTTAAAGAGACGTCTGTTTAACAGGCTGTTTAACCTGTTTAACGTCTATTTAACAGGCTGTGTTGCACAGGCTGGAGTGCAGAGGCATGATTATAGCTCACTACAGCCTCGAACTCCTGGGCTCAAGTCTAAGTTACATGTCTCGGAAGAAATGTGAATCACTTAAAGACATTGTAAAAATTCAACAAAAATGAAAGATGTAGATGAATTCTGCACTTCAGTTTCTTCACATGGATGCTTTAAGTTTAAAAACTCTGAAACATGAAATCAAGAAAAAAGATACAACTCCTATCAGTCAAAGAGGAGGCTATGATTTCTCATCAAAAGCTTGGCTAACTAATGAATATTTTATATTTTGAGCAAAAATAAAATGCTTAGGATATGAATGCATAATTCAGTTTTCTGATTTCCCAGCATAATTTCCTGTTTGATTATCCATCCCTTTGGAGTCAGGTAAGAAGGTTGCCACAGAGTGTAGATATTTCCAGATTATGGTTCATGTGACATCCCACCTGCAACTAGTTTATACTGTAGTATATATTTCCAGTGCTTCTACTATTTTTTGTTTGTTTTGCTCTTTACTATTTTTGAAGAATTGTACATGCCTAGAGTATTCCATCAATGTAGTGCATATATACAATGCTTAAATGGGTAAAATGTGCATTAGGAAAACTAATTGAAACATTTTTAGGAAAAAACCCTCTTAAATACTTGCTTTCAATTTAGTTTTTAGAGATTAGAAAAAAAAAAAAAACTTTTAAAATTATTATATCCCCAAATGACTGATGGCTTGAGGAAGAGATGCTATTTGTTTTCTGAAATATATATTTTTGCTATAGGAAAGATTATTAAAACTAAGTACATCCTATTTTATCTGTGTGTTTTAATGTAAAGGGTGTTATGAAAAGAAGAGACCAAATACAAGCAGAACTGGATTCCAAAGTTGAAGCTTTGACTTATAAAAAGACAGACACTGATCTGGTAAGTTTTTAAGTTTCTTGATACAATCGTATAGAATTCATTGTCAAAAATTTTTATTAGCAATGTCCTTACATAATTCTTTCTTACATGATTATTTCTAAGCATTCAGCAAATTATAGTAAAATTTCTTCCTAAAATCTGTTATACATTGGATACCATGTGAGTCTACAAGCTTAACAATGATGGTTTTCTGCCTTTCTGACTTATGTCTCATCTCATACTATTAGGAAAGTATAATTTTTTAAAAAGGAGATAATGTATTGGAAGAAAGTATGAAAGGCAATACTAGGATTATTCCAGGCTAGTAAGTACTCAGTAATAAATCTTCTTTTTTCTAGTTTTTTGAGATTTTTATATAAAATACGTTAATGTTCCTCTATACTTTTTTTCTGAGTATTGTTAAACTCTTTGTGAAAGTGAATATCTTTGTGTTTGCAAGTTTAATCTTTACCTTCAGATATTTTATTACGGAAATTTTCAAACAAAATGAGATCTAATAATATGAGCTCTCATATATTCATAACTGGGCTTCATTAATTCTCAACATTTTGCTCAACTTTTTTTATTGTCTCTCCTCATGTTTAAATTTTTACTGAAGTATTCTAAAGCAAATTCTAGATATAGATTATTTTACCCATGGTAGTTTTATATTTATATTTTAGTATCTTTGCATTTTCAGAGTAATACTGTCAGGTTGGAATAATTATTCTCATTTTAAAAGTGAGAAGACACTTGAAAGGTAGAGTAATTTGCCTAAGTTTATATATAGGTCTTGAAATGCAGAATAGGATCGGAGGTGATGACGTCTCTTGTCTGCCTCAGACAGTGCTGCCTGTCAAAAAGCAGGTATAGAAGTGGGAAAAGTGGACTTTTAATCTAATGAACTTCTACTGTGTGCATTATGAAATATTTTTTAAATTTTCCTTTACATTTAAGGATTTAGGTTGTTATTGAATACAATGTTGAGTGCACTTACATCAGGTGAGTTGGGGAGTCCTTGAAACATCCCTGTAAATCTATACTGTTGCAGCCTCCTCAGCCCTGACCTGGCCAAGGACTCTGCATCCCCCCTCCCTGCTTTAATAGTCTCCCTAACTTTAATCACTTCCTAACATATGACTTCCTAATTAGTTTTCTTTATATGTTTTTCTCTCTCCCTCTCCATAACTGAAACACCTTAAGGGCCGATTTTTTTTTTTCTTCATGTGTTCACTAGAGTGTTCCCAGACCCTTGTGCGCTGCCTGGCACATCGTAGTCACTCAGTAAATATGTAGTGAAGGAATGAGTGGAAACCATAGTGACTACTCTGATTTGTGCAAGCATATTGAAGGCTTGAAGCATGAAGTCTCTACAAAATCAGACTGTGCAATTATTTCATTATTTAATTAATATTGTGAAAACCAGTAAAAGATGAGTACAAATACTAAGAGTCCTTGTGTCTACGAAGTCTAACTTGCATGTCTGTATGCAACTTAGAATTATTATACTATGAATTATTCTCACGTTTCTTGACTATGTATATTAACTGAAATTCTATTCTCTCCAGTGGAATGTGAGTGGGGAGTGGTGGGCTGCTGTGGACAGAGTAGGAGAAAGGAATCTGTGAGAGAGAATAACAGAAAATGTAGAACTAGAGGAAATAGTGCTCAAAGGAAAAATCATCTTTATGATTTAGAGAGAACCCCAGATTAACCTTTTCCATTTAATAAGAAACAATAGACTCCTAACGCTCTCAATATATATAGTTAAGAAACATATATATACATATGTGTATATATATAATACATATATGTACATATATACGTATATTTCTTAACTATATATATAGAGAGAGAGTTAAGAGTCAACTAGAATTGACTGAAAGGCTGTACATGTGTATAGAAATTGTAATTGCATCTTCTGAATTTTAGAATTTGTTTTTAGGTGTTAAGTAACTAAGGATATTGAAGTTAGTGGTTAGACAAAATTTTGCTCTTGATGAAATACTAGGAACAGTAGAATATTTTAAAGTTTCAGGAGAATAATAGCATGGCTGAAAAACCAAGCATATGTAAGAATGGCCTATATTCATGTTTTAAAATGAAAGGAAGATTAGTTGGGATTGTTCCAACCACAAAAGCACAAGGAAGAAAATAGCTTGGGTCCAAATATGGCTGGGATTTCCCAACTCAGTTAAAAAAACACACACACACATTTATTTTTCCACTGGGCTTGCAAATATTTTGTCTTTTGCTGCATAAGAATAATTTTGATATTTTATTATAACTTAATCATCAGTATATATTTATGATTTCACTTGGGTGTGTATGTCATGTCTACTATAAAGTGTTTAATACCCATGTAGCTGCTACATTGTAAGACTGGAAAAATTTGAAACTTTAATTATCTGCATTATATTCTGTAAGATACTTTCAGTTGATTAAGTTTCAGAACAGACACATTTAACAGAGACATTGCAGGTATTTTTTTGTTTATCATCAAAACAAATTTTTCCTAAAATTTATGCAGACTGATTTAATGATTTGTGAATGGAACTGTTTATATTTTCAAATAATTAATTTGTTTATAGGCCTTCTCACTTTTAAAATCCCTATGTCTTATGATGGTATCTTCGGGAGGAACCTACCAGAGTTACTCTAAAAATGAACCGGCCTTGATTGGTCACAGAAAGACTGAAAGGAAGTTGCTTAGAAATATGCAGGATAGGGTCACCATGGCAACGTGCCCTTGTGAGGTCCTTCTAAGGAACCGTCCTTTGCAGTCACCATGGCGACCCTGGCAGAGAACTGAATATAGCAATCTGCCTGGTTGTTTACCATGGCAACTCAGACAGGGCCATTTTGGAGACAACCCTGGGGCCATTTCTATGGAGACATTGGGGCAGCCTTCAGAGACTCCATCGAAGTCACCTTTGGGTGGGATGCTATGTGCAAACCCAGCAAAGCAACTGATAATAAAAAGGTCAGTGAAATGAAGCTCTAGCAAGAAACGCAAAGGTTAGAGGAGTTATAGTTATTGGGTAGAAAGATTGCAGTTATATAACACTCCAGAGGACATTTGACTGTATCAGGTGACCTTCGTGTGGGTTTTGTGGCATGCAAATACAAGGGTTCTGGTCTTTTTACCTTGCCTGTAATCCTGCATTTACTATAAATGAACAATAATGGCATTACAGTTACTTTTTCTTATCACACAGATATACCCACAAAAGGTATGTGTTTTTCTGCAAACTAAAATAATATCTGACAGAGAGTCCTTGATACATTACATGGTTAGTTGCAAAGTGGCTCCTTCTCAGAGTTTGTGGTTTGTAGTTCTTATCTCACAGCCATAAAATTAATGGCTTCAGGATTACCTAAGTCAGTAAAGACATTCGGAATATTCATTTGAAGGTCAGTTCAGCGGTTCATGTAGAGTTTTGTTGTCTAAGTTTTGGAATTGGATAAATCAAAGATCAAATCCTAGCTCACCTGTTGATTAAATTTTGTGACCCAGGACAAGTTTTCTAACTTCTTTTAGCCTCATTTTATCATGTATAGGTTGAGGACATTATTTGTACCTTTCTAATAGGCTTGTTTAAGGATTAAATTATATAATGCAAATACATTGCTTGGAGCATAGTAAGTACTCAGTAGTTGTTAGCTGTTGTCATTTTGATGACAGTATAGAGGTAATATTTGAGATTGGTCCGTATAAAATGGCTATGGAGTTATTCATTGTAAAGCACAAGGAATATTTCAGGTAGAATGGATATTATGAAAAGCTTTAGAAGATCAAAAAACCTGCTAACTTGATTAAACCAGATTGGTGTGTGGAGAGAAGGGTACAGTGAGGAAGAGGGGATGTGACTTAAAGGTGGACTATAGTCAGGTAGAAAGGAGGCCTTATCTGTCAGGTTGAGAAATATGTACTTTATCCTTTGCTCAGTATGGATCCAGTAGGAACCTGAATTGAAGAGGTGGCAGTGGAGTTGCAGAGACGAGTTAATATGAGAAAGAGGTAGGCAGAGGATAGAAGCCACATCACTTAAATAATGAAGGGCAGCCAATGTTTCAAGTTATTAATAAATAACATTTCTAACTTGCAGCAGGGCAGATCGTGGCTCTCTACACTGAGCTACAGAATAAAAAGTGAAGAAGAAATTTGGAGATGTGCAACTTTACATATTTATAAGATGATATTTAAGGTAGAGGTATTCAACAAAAACTTTTCAGCAAAGTTAATTATTTACCATATGAATGTCACTGTTCCCAGCACTGGGGAAAGAAACCAGGTCCTCATGAGGCTTATGTTCTAGTGGGTCAAAAAAAAAGAGTAAATAATTAAAATTCATAATATATTGTCATATAGTGATAAGTGTGGAGGAGACAGAGTGTTGAGGAGCAGTGCAATTTAGAATTAGGTGTCAGTAAAATAGTCACCAAGGAGGTAATGTGTGAGCAATATGTATACCTGGGGGAAGAGCCTTTCAGGCAGAGGGGACAATACATGCACAATGAAAGTGTACTTGTACATTCCAGAAAATGCAAGAAGGCCAGTGTTGCAGAAATGGAGTGAGCAAGTAGAAGAGTTGTGGGAAATGAAGTCAGAGAAGAAACCAGGGATTAGACCATATAGAGCTTTATAAGGTTTATATATCTCAGTGAGATAGGAAAATAGTTGAACAAAGGAGTAGCATAATCATATTTAACTTATAAGATGATTGTTGTGCTTGGAGAAAGCACAAGATGATGTACATGTGGTATGTGCATGGGATGGAGGAAAGCCAGAGCTGGAGAGTAGCTCTTAAAATATTCCCAGTGAGACATAGTAGCTTGGACCAGAGCAGAAGTGATGTTAAAGGGTCAGAAGCTGAGTATATTTCATAGGAAGAGCTGTTTGCTATTTGGTGGGCTGTGGATTGTGAGCCAATAAGGAGAGGCAAGGATGATTCTGAGGTTTTAGACGGAGCAACTGGAAGGTAATAGTTGGCATTAATTGAGATGAGGAGACTTTGGAA